GGGACCAGATACCGGTAATTCCAAGAAGATCATACCAATGTCCGCCCTCAAGCACCAGGCCAAGCGACCTTTGACGGAGGGCCTGGAGTGCGACTACTTCTACAGCAAGGCGCAGTGCGACGTCCCCGACCTCAAAGGTATGACCGCCGCACACACTGCAATTCTGCCGAATATCAACATGGATGGCAACAATTTCCCCCATGTGAGCCAAACTTGGAACTTTTGCATGCGGTGCAGCGGCTATGTGAGCACGAAGAAGTCGGGCGACTACAAGTTCTATACCGCCTCAGACGATGGCTCTCTCCTATACCTTGATGGTCAGAAGATCGTCGACAACAATGGCTGCCACGGTGAACGCGAGAGGTCCAGTGAAAACATTGCCCTCGCAGAGGGTACCCACCGCCTAGTGGTGGAGATGTGCGAGAAGAGTGGCGGTCAGGCCTTCAAGATGCGATACGAGGGACCAGATACCGGTAATTCCAAGGTTGTCATACCGAGATATGCCCTCAAACATGAGGCCAAGGACTTTGCGGACGGCTTGGAGTGCGACTACTTCTACGGCAAGGCTCAGTGCGACGTCCCGGACCTCGCGGTCCTAACACCGAAACACAGTGCTATCCTGCCGAACATCAACATCGGCGGCAACTTCCCCCATGTTCGCCAAAGCTGGAACTTCTGTATGCGGTGCAGCGGCTTTGTCACAACCTTCAGCTCGGGCGACTACAAGTTCTACACTGCCTCTGACGACGGCTCTCTCTTGTACCTGGACGGCGAGAAGGTCGTCGACAATAACGGCTGCCACGGTGAACGCGAGAAGTCCAGTGAAAGCATGTTCCTTGCGGCGGGTAGCCACCACGTTGTGCTGGAGATGTGCGAGAAGAGTGGCGGCCAGGCGTTAAAGATGCGATACGAGGGACCGGATACCGGTGGCTCCAAGGTCACAGTGCCTGCGTCGGTTTTAAAGCATGCAAAGTGATGCTGCAAGCTACGGGTCCAACTTGGATTCTATGCAGCTCAGTTCTGGGCCTCTGCAAAAGGAATCGAGTCATGAGCTGGAAGGGGCAGTGCTCTGCTGAAGAGTTGAGGGCCTAAGCCCTGAACCCCGAACCCAAAATCCCAATGCCAGAGGCTGATCTTCCTCCTCGTCGAGCTGCGATGCCGGCAGCCGGCGTCAAGGCCGCTGGGGCAAAGATCGACGTCAGGACATTTTGCGTTAGTTCGGCGGAGGGGTGGGGGGGTTGTTTGGGGCTCAAGGTTCTCGTGGCGGGTGCATGAGCGCCTTCTGCCGGTAGTTACAAAGGTAATGATATGTCTATACTTTCAGTTGTTGTAGGGCTGGTGGAGTGCTCATGGGATGTAGGGTTAAGTCTCTGAAGCCATGACCCTAGAGAGGCTTGTACCGGAGTCCACTTGAAGTTTGTAAAGGGAAGCATCAAAGAGCCCAGGGCTTTTGGCTTCGAAGCCTTGGGCTTTGCGCTCTGATCACAGATGCAGTCTACGAGTATCGAAATTTCAAAAAATGCAACCAAACCAACTAGGACCCATCTCGTTTTGACAGTGGAGCCCAGGGTTGGGGGCAATTTTGAGTCAGAGACATGACTCCGACGTCTTCTCCGTGCCGCTTCCCAGCGGTGTGGGCGGTACGGCTTGGTGTTCGGGGTTCGCGCTGTCGGCTTCAGTATCTAGTCTACTGCAGTTTCGCGGCCGCTGGAATCGGCACGGTTGCAGCAATGCAGAGCACGCGCGAGTGCGTGTGTGTGTGTGTGTGAGATCTTGACATGCTGTCTGGACATGGTCCTTGGTTGACATTGATGAAGTTCACGGGTTTTTGGCCGAAATGGAAATTTTCAGCATCGTACGGTGCTAAGATCTGAAGATACAGCGAGAGATCGGATGTCTTAACAGAGTGCAGGTGTCCTGCCGCGGCCTCGGCGAGCTAGTACGGTTTGTGTAGAATCGGGTTTCGGGTTTAGGGTTTAGAATTCTAAATTTTAGACTTTTATTTCAGAGACTCAAGGATGACTGCAAGTCTTCGGCCTTTGAGTTTTGTTCGCTCCATCGAGGACGCAGCATAGATGGTTGTGCATTGGTTGAACATGGCAGAGCCATGCGCCCCAATGTCTTGGTCAAGTTTTGTGGTCGTCATGGCAAGCAACGTATATTAAGCAACATGCAGGAAACATCAAACAGCTACAAGTAAGCCGTGGTAACATAGCAGGCAGTAGTTAGCACAGTAAGCAACACCTGGTTGCAGGTAGTTTGCAGTTCGTGGCCTGTCTAAAGCCTATCTTGCCCCCTATACTGCAACAGCCAGATCATGATGTCCTTGCTTGCGCACGTGCCAGCTTGACGCTTCTAGATGCTGTCAATGCTTGAATTGCTCACAGCATTCTGCAACAAGCGCGGGGGCAAATAGAGGCTTGCCAGGGTGCCAAGCACTGCGGTCTAGGGTCGAGGGTATACCCTTTGTGTGGCACCCTAAGTCGCACGCAATGCTTTAAGTCGTGCTTGCAGATTTCGACCTCCACCCTGCCGGTGCGAGGGGAACATGATAAATACTCATGTTCAGATGCTCATAAAAATGCTCATGCAAGTGATTTGCATGACATGGAACCGATGCTTTAAGTCGTGCTTGCAGATTTCGATGACCTCCACCCTGCCGAACGTCGCATTCGGCAGCGTGGATGTCTGGTACTTCGGCAGCACTTTCCAGGATTGGTTGGGCTTGCTTTTGGGAGCTTCTTGGTGGGTCTTCTCGCTTCTGCAGTCAAGGTCGCTGCCCGGCTGTGTGGGGCAAGGAGCTGGTCAGGCTCAGTTGCCTTTGGGAGATGGAGAGCGGGAGAGGAGGGAGAGAGGATGGGCGCGGGATATTGTAGCTGCGTTGCATCTGCTTCAGAGACTGCCCAATATGGTCTTATAAACTGCCATCAAGGTGCATTGTACTCATGCGGCCATCTTGCCTCGAGCTTTTCTTCCACATGTTTTCCTTATTGAAGCTCAGGCAGCTGCCGATTCCGTGTAGCTAGTCGCAGGAGCATCGTGGCGGTGGAGCTCAACAGTCTCGGTCAGCTCCCTGTTGAGATGCTCACATCAATGAAGCTCGGCTCTTCGAGAGCCTTTGGCTCATTCAGAGCCCTTACGGTCTTGGCTTGGGTTCTCTGTTGGGCCACGTCCCGGTCCTTCAAGCTGTCGGGGTCTCCCATCCCGGTGACCGACTCCGCGAATGCGACCGTCCAGGAGATTGTGGAGGAGGTCGTTGCTGACGACTTGAAGCAGGACATGGAGGAGATCAACAACATGTCGAACCCCATGACGGAGAACGCGAGTGATCCCGGTGAGGGTTTCGGCCAGCTCGCCAAGAACTTGGAGTTTCTTCTCGTGAAGGTCGCACAGCTCGAGGCGGTTGCTGAGATGCAGCAGGCTGAGCTGATATCGTATCGGAAGAAGTTCGACTCGCAGCAAAGCCAGATCGATTCCCTCCAGGCCCAGATTGGCCACCACGAGCCGCAAGACGGCGGGGCCTTGCTGGAGATGGAGCAGAAAGATGCGCAAACGCGGCTGCAGGAAGCCCAGGACGTCGTCAAGAGAGTGTTTCTCAAGCACAACCGTCAGCGAGAGAAAGGTGACTTGGCTGGAAGTCGTTGGGTTTTCGAGCATTCGAAGAGCTGGCCCCGTTGGGACAACTCAGGCATCCTCCATCATGAAGAGGACATCGCCACCGCAGCCGAAAGTGGAGAGTCGCAGGGGTCGTCGTCCGATCGCGAGTCTGTGACTTGTCCAATTCGCTGTAGTCGTTGCTGCCATTGTTCTGTTCTGTCCCTTACCCTTGTTGCCGACAGCTAAGGGATTTTGGAATCACCGGAGAAGGAGATTTCCCCAAGTTATCGTCGACTCGGGAAAGGCTGCTGTAGATGCCGCGAAGAACCCCATCGACACCTTGAAGGATGGATACAATGCTGCTACCGATAAGGCAGGGTGTCTGATCTTTCTGCACAGCTTGTTGAGAGTGCACTGTTGCTTTGCTGATCAGTGATGCAGCACCGCGAGGCTGAATGGTTGAAGAACAACGCAATCTCGACTGTGGAGCAGGCCGTTGCGATTCTGAGCCAAGGCTTCTCGAACTTCGGCGCCAGCTGCCCAAACAGTGCTGCGCCTTCGATCAGAACATTCAACTCTCATGAACTCAAAATCTACTTTGGGGATCTCCGCTGCAAGATCAGCCTGATGGGGCAGGACACCCCCTTGTTCGGACTCAACTTCGGCGAGCACAGAATTGGTTTGCCGAGCCAGTTCAAAATTCTTTTCCACCTGGGATGGGAGCTGGTGGACACCTGCAGGGGCACACACAACCACATTGAGGTGACCAAGTGCCTTGCCAGATCGCTTGCAAGAGTCACTCCTCCATTGGATCTGCTTCCGTCGCAGATGCGGATACTTTATCACATCGGGTGGGAGCTGCAGAACACCTGCCACACCCACAACCACATTGAGGTGACCAAGTGTCTTGCCAGATCACTTGCGAAGTTCAGTCCACCAGTGGACTTCCTGCCCGACCGGTTGAAGAAAGTTGCTAATGGCCAAGTCTTGGATCTTCTGCCTGATCAACTGAAGAAAGTTGCCAATAACCAAATCTTAGATCTTCTACCCGATCAGCTGAAGATTCTTTTTCACCTTGGCTGGGAATTGACTGGCAGCTGCAAGGGAAACCACAACCACGTCGCGGTTACGAAGTGCCTTGCCAGCTCGCTTACGAAGGTCGGGAAACTGTTGGACTTCCTGCCCGACCCATTGCAGAAGGTCGCGAATGGAAAAGTCTTTGACCTTCTGCCCGATCAGCTGAGAATTCTCTTCCACCTGGGCTGGGAATTGTGGCACAGCTGCAAGGGAAATCACAACCACGTTGAGGTGACCAAGTGCCTTGCCAGATCGCTTGCAAAGTTCAGTCCTCCATTGGACTTCCTGCCCGACCCGTTGAAGAAAGTTGCCAGCGGCGACATCATGGGGCTCTTACCGGGACAGTTGAACCAGATTGCCAGTGGCAACATCATGGGGCTGATGCCTGGGCCGATGCAACTTCTCGGAGGTGGCCAGGCGAATTCCATCCAAAATATGCTTACCCTGGGCAACGCGCTCATGGATTGTTCCGACTCCCAGCAAAGCGACCTGGTGAAGTGCCTTGGCTTCAAGATCATCGCAAGTAATCCTCCCCTGAACTTCTTGAACCGCCTGGGTGACATCTTCGCAGAGTTCGTCGGGACTTTTGCCAAGGTGGCCGCCGCCGTGGCCACCCAAACCATG